AAACTAATAGTCATGGAAATAAAAATGCTAGAAAGTTAATTTTCGTGTTCCGTTACATGTGTGAGCCACTGTATATTCTTATAATTCTTTCAAATCGTGATCGATGTCTTTATATACGAGCAAGTTATTTTAAATAAAGCTTTATCTTTGTAATTAAATTAGTTAATTCATATTAACCTTTTTACCTAAATTAGAACTCCTTTATTTTTTAATTTTCTGAAAATGCGTTTGTGTTTTCAAGTTCAATTGCACAGTTCATTCCCTTTGACGTAAGAAAATTTTGGATTAATAAATCAAAAATATATATTTGCTTACATGTTCTCGCTTCCCATTGCGCTTCCGTAAAACAGCAACAATTATTTTTTGGTGAACGAAATCGAAAGGTGCATCTTTATAAGGTAATCCATCCAACACATTAGCGCCACATTTGAATGAAGACCTGTTGAAAAAATTGGAGATAAATTTCTTCCCACAAGCATTGAATTAGGATATTGTTTTGCCATATCCTATTTTACGATTTATTATAGTTCCCAGAAAATTAATGGTGACCAGTTTTTTATTATATTCATTTAATTGTATAATAAAATTAAAAAAAAAACTATTTTGAAAGTGCCTTGAGTAAGGGGCGATATGCCCCTAAAATATCAGTACTTGGCGTGCTTTCTTTCCGTTCAATGCAAGTTCGAATATTATTTAATATTCTAAAAATTTTGTTATTTGAAGTTTTTAACTAAAATATTATTCTGATTAAAATGAAATTATTACTAAAATGTTCGTCTTATTGAGGCGAATATAATAAGATTAAAATTACAAGTTTGAAAATTTAAAAACCTTCAATCAGGAAATGACTTGCGTGATATGCTCTTATTAGATTTTCGCAAATTTATCACATTTTTATTTTTTTTAATTGAAATCTAGTACGTACTATTATATATTTTCTATAAAAATGTAGTAAAATTCATATAACAATCTCACTGCCATTATTTCGCTAGTGGCTGGATTAAAAAACATGTTAAGTTGTAGTAGTATCATATTTTTATAACAAAATGCAGTCCAAATGCATACCAAAATCAGTAACACCAGTTCTTGTCTAAATTTTTTTTCAACAGCTGATTGAAAGAAACCTCCCCAAAATCTTTGTTTGCTAAACAAATGATCAGTTTCTTTACTATCATCCGGAATAAAATACAGTACCGTGAAGCGCTCTGTATAGTATTCCCCTTTGTAGAAATTTAAAAATTCAAACCATAATTTAACCTCAAGGCTGTTAAACCAGTAAAAATTTAATTATTTGCGGAAAAATAATTAGGTTTACTAAAAAAAAAATGAACTAAGTTGTGATTCAAATTTTTACAAGGATACTATGCAGAGCTCTTTACGGTGCTCTGAATATGAAATCGTCTACATACAATAAATGCAACTCACTATTTTCTATTTTCCTCTTCAATAAAGCGTTAAAAGCAATAACATACTATTTTTTTAATTGCTCGTTACTTTTTATTTTTTATGAATCACACAGTGCATGACACTTTAAAGACTGAAATAAAATTGATAATCTTTGAAATCTAATAGCATATTACACAGATAATACAAAAAAAGGCCACCAATTTGTAGTTAAGCCAATGTACTATTACTTAGCTGCCTTTTTTTAAAAAAACTATTGTCCATTTCTGAATTAAAAATACCCTGTTTTTATATGATCGATAATGAATGGGACATGCCAAATATAAAACGTGACTTGTGTCGACCAATCAAATTGCAACAACTTATTTCAACCAATCCAATTACATTATATTATCTTTGATTTTATTGGCTGTTGTATTAATTATAAAATATGCAAGAAATGTTTCACTTGTGATAAAATCATGTGACTTTTTTAAAAGTACATGTATTGCAAAGGTGGATTTCATGCACTATCGCTATCGTTATCGTTATCATTATGCACCAAATAAAAAATGCGGTGTAACGGTAACAATTACAATACGTACATGCACATCAACATTAAACTAGAAACCTACCGACAATGACGAACACAATTGAAAAAATGCCATTATCCTCTTCAAACGAATGGATAGAAACCGCAATAAAGGAAAAGCAAATAAAGTTTTTTGATTTAGTAAATTTTATGATAAGGAAATCATTGGAAACGGAGCGTTTGGTGAAGTTTATAGAGCAAAAGTGAAAAACGAAGATTTGACTGTAGCTTTAAAGAGGCTTTATCTAAGTGACGAAAAACACGCCGAAGAAACAAATAAAAGATTTATCAAAGAGGTAATATACTATCGCTATTGTATAAAAGAATAAATTAACCAAACATTACAAAATTCACAATAAATTCTTCTTAGTTGAAATCTCTTATTGTTCTTAACCACAACAAAAATATAATTCGTTTTTATGGGATCACTAACGCTAAAGGTAAATATATGCGTAGTAAAACCACAATTTTACTTCCCAACAAGCTAAAGCCTGAATTGATATTGGTTTGAAAAAAATGAATACTATGATATTGAACTTGCTTGTATCTTTGTATAATATAAATTCTTAAATAACTTTTAAATCAGAATTAGATGCGCAGAAATACATGATTGTTATGAAGTATGCCGATGGCGGAACTCTCGAAAATTACTTAAAAAGAAATTTTTTCAACTTAACTGGTAACGACAAGTTAAATTTAGCCAAGCAACTCGCGCAAGGATTAAAAAGTATACATAATGAAGATATAATACATCGAGATTTGGTAAGGTATAACACAGAATGATTAAGTTTATTAATAAAAATTTGTACTGAATACGAATTTTTTAGAATCATAATAATATCCTCATCCACAGAGGAAAGATTAAAATTGCGGATTTA